TCTACGGGCACGTACCAAATCACGTGATTGGGCACGTACGGTAATATCACGTGATCTTCGCATACGAACGATTAAACGATTTATACGATGAATGAGAAATACAATGTCCATTAGATATGGGACAAATTGACTAGATTATATACTTAATTTCTTTTTATTCTTTAATTATTTAATCCTTTTATTTTTAATCTTTTTTATTTATATGTATTTTTTTATTTTTTTTTTAAATGGAGCATATTAGACGCATCTTATGTCTGTTAGATAGGCCAAATTGATTAAACTTATTATTCATATTTTTAGTATTTTTGTGAATAAATAATGTTCGCCCCTTCCAATTATTATTAAAGTATTATGATAAATTCAACCATAAGTATAAAATGAATTAAATCGTAATAAATAACTGTCAAACGCAAAGAATAAATTGCATATTTATTCAACTTACCTCTTAGTTCACTAATCGGAGTAACTTATTATTAATCATCTGAAACATTCCGATCAGTAAACTTGGAAAATCTAGATTTTGTATGCAGAATTATGTAATGGATACATCATAAGAAAAAAATTTTTTTACATTATATAAAAAAAAAAAAGAAATTTTTTTCTTTCGCTTTGGCAAAATACATTCCTATAAAACAAACACTTTCACTAGTTGTTAATATAACATTTAACCCGTTATATATATATATAATCACTTACTTTTTAGTGGAATTATATACCAGACTTTGTTGGTTTGATTATACTCTACGGCCTTATACAATTTATCTAATTCATTCATGCAACTTTATAATTATAACCACAATGTCTAAACCTCTTATGCCCAATGTGAATGATAAGTTTGATTCTCTGGAAGCTTTCGAAGATGCTGCAAGATTAGCTGCTAAGTATGAAGGGTTTGCATTTTCAAGAAAAGATAGCAACCTTACCGGGTGTAAAGGAAAATCGCTCTTTGTCGTTTTGCAATGCACAAAAGGTGGAGAGTGGAAAAATTGTTGGAATATAACAGAAGAGACTAGTAAAAGGAAGAAAACTACTAAACGCGAAGGCTGCCCTGTATATATTAGAGCCACTGCAACAAAATGCCATTCGACTACAAGTGTTTTAAATACTGAAGTAAAATGGATTGTCACGAAGGCTGTACTCGAACATAAACACACAATGCTTGAGTTGGATGAGGTTGCAACTTTTCCACAATACCGTGCTATGAGCCTAAATCAGAAAAATCTGGTACAACAGTTGCATGATAATAATGCACCAACTCGTGTTATAACAGCAGCTGTTAATAAGGTTATTAATGGTGGTATTATTCTCTCAAAAGACATTGTGAATGAACGTGCACGTATTAGGCTTGCTTTGAATGAAGGTTATAATAACGATTCTACTCAGATACTACTAAGGCTTCTTGAAGAACGTGATTATATGGTTGTGGCACATAAAACAACAAAAGGATATCTAACTCACCTTTTCTTTTCACATGTTGAAGCTGCTAAGTGCGTTGCCAAATGCCCGGAGGTTCTTATTGTGGATGCTACATACAGAACAAATATTTACAAATATCCGCTTGTTAATGCTGTTGGAATAAATAACATTAGTAATGAGAAAGGTGTACTAGCATCTTATCAAATCGCAATGGCCTGGATTGATAATGAAAGTGAAGCGTCCTACACATGGTTTTTGCAAACGCTTCGTACCAAAATTTATAATGCTTATGGTTGCTTACCAGATGTTTTCATGTCCGATAGAGACCAAGCATTAAGAAATGCTTCGTCTAAAGTATTCCCAGAGTCTAATAAGATGCTATGTGTTTGGCATCTTCTTGAGCAAAATTTGAAAGTTAATTGCCGTAAGCTTTTTAAAAATGATGAAGACTACGAGATGTTTAAAAAAGAGGTTGAAGCTCTAAGGTTTTCTGAATGTGAAGAAGAAATTCCTCAGTCTCTAAATGCAATTAAAAAGGCTGCTGAAAAGTCACACTCTCCAGAAAAGGTAGAATCTTATATTCAGACATGGATGAAAGATTCGAAATTGTGGATATTAGCTTATACTAAGCAATTTTGTCATATGGGAATATCAACTACTGGTAGATCTGAATCATCACATAGCATATTTAAAAGAGCAATCGAGACAGCTAGTGATCTGGAAAGTGTATTTCGTCAAATTGATCAAGTAATGCGTTTACAACATCTAAAATCAGCAATACGTATGGGCTCCAACAAAGTTGCGATTGATCCATTTACTCTTCGTAATCCTATATTTAGTGAACTAATTGGAAAAGTATCAACATGGGCAATTAATCAAATAAAAAAAACTATTCAAAAAAAAAAGGATACAGATAATAATATTGAAGATTGTGAATGCTTGATTAAAATTAATTATAAACTGCCTTGTCAACATATGATTCCGGCACACGGTCCAATTCCTTTGTCAATAATTAACAAGAGGTGGCTACTTGAAAGACCAGATATTATAGAACTTCCACGCCCCTCTAAGTCGGCTATTATTGATTCAGAGTTTTATACCACTTTTGTTAATGCCGAAGAGAAGTTTCAGCAATTGCCTGACAATATTGCAAAGAACGAATTTATTACAAAAATTCAACAAGTAATGAATGAGCCATTATCTGAGCCCATCAAGTTTCTCCCCAAAAAGGTATCTAAGTCAAGTACTAAGCGAGGATCACTTCTTAGCGAGAAACAAGATGCTGCTGCAAAAAAGAAAAAGAAAATGCTGGACAGTATAATGAAGCCCAAAAATAAAACTGTTCAGCAACAAAAGATACCTTTAAACCAAACTTCTATTACCTCTCAATCCTCTAGTTATAAGCTATATGAAGCGAATCTTCCAAAATTTATGCGAGAACATGTTTCGGCATATTTCAATGTTGTGGGTGATGGTAATTGCGGCTTTCGTGCTGTTGCTGTGTCAATTGAAAAAAATGAAGAATACTGGCCAAATATTCGAAAACTTATCTATAATGAACTCTGCACTTGCAAGTCTCATTATATTCAACTGTTTTTAGAAAAAGAAAAAGAATATAATGATATATTATTTACGACACAATGGGAGGCTGGTTCTTGTGGTAAAGAACATTGGATGTCGATGCCATCATTTGGATATGTTATCGCGAACACATTTCAACGACCTGTTCATTATTTCAGTAAATATATCTCTCTTACATTTCTTCCTGATAACACACCATTAAATCGAAATATATCAATTGCTTTCATTTATGTTCTTGAAAGCCAGCATTTTGTAGCTATAAAACTCAAGCCAAATGTTCCAGTTCCTCCTATTGCAAATGGTTGGGAAAAGATATGTGCTAAATCTTGTAAGATATGGGAAAATTTGTTCTTAGAAAGAATAGCTCGTTTTAAGAAAGAATATGAAGATGAATACAGATACTTACAAAAAGTGCAATTGAAGTTTAAATATTGAAGCCCTTATGTATTAAATATTAAAGAGATGCTGCATCTCGATCTTTTTTTTACGTATAAAAAATAAACTTCATGAGTAGTTGCCATTAAGAGACATAAATGTTACATTAAATTGCTAT